AATTATGTTTTTTTATTATGAATTAATTTTTCATTATTTTTATTAATTAAATAATAATTTTAATCCTGAAAAATCCCCAGAAACCATGCAATTATCTGCTCATCAGTTCCCCATCTCTATCTACTACCCAACGTGGAATTCGTGACATTTGAATTTGAATTTAGAATGGGGAAGCAATAAATCAAATTATCCACCGTGAAGAGGCAAAAAATAAAGACGTGTAAAAGACGTTTGGTCAAAGGACATGAATTGAATGGTTCTGTCGTCCACAGTTCGTGCTTCTGTGTTTCGCCCTATCACCCTTTGACAGCTTACCAACCTTGGAGTTTGCATCCCCAGTGGATCATCCATCATTCCTAGCTAATGCATGCGGACCCATCAACTCATGTCTATATTTTTAAAAAGAAAAAGAGAAAAAGCAAGTCACCTAATTCATAATATATCGCAATTTCTTCTATCTCTAATTAATGCACCTCTATATAGATAATAGACTTTCATTTAAATCACAGGGGCTGTGTCAGTTGCATGTGTATGCTTAGACAAATCCATAATAAATAGTATGGTTGTTCGTTGTATGTGATCTCCTACAACTAAATTCCTGTAGAAACTAGAATTAAAAGAAGTTTGAGAATAGAAAGGCACAATAATGTTTCGTTCATGATAAAAGAAGTGAGTAGTTGTTATAAAAACATACTCTAGTCGAGAATTTTTTTTTTATCATGTTTATAAATCATACCATAAAACATACTCTAGTCGAGAATTTTTTTTTATCATGTTTATAAATCATACCATTAAAATATGTTGATATTTTATTAAATTTTAAATATAATAAATGAATTTTAAAATTTTTCTTAATTCAAGTAAAACATGTTGAAAATAATTTAAAAAAACATTATAAAAAATATAAGGAAATAAAAAATATGAATATGTAATTTATGACTTATATCACATGCTACTTTGGAAGTGAAATTTTTTTTTTTTTAAGCTTGAGAAGTAGGTTTGACTAATAACAAAAAATATTTCCCGTAGGGCAGTGAAAGAATTTGATAGATTTTTCTCAATTAAATTATTATATACATAAAAGTTTGGGTTTCAATCTTTAACTACTTGTTTAAATGACAAAAGATTTTATCACCCTGACCAACTTTAATTGTAGTTTGGGAGTGAGATTTATCATACTAATCATTTATGAACCATAAGTATCAGTATCTAATTAAATAAGTTAAGTTTAATTACCTCATTTATTGTAATCAGCACCCTTTTTCACCGCATATTACAGCCTTACAGGGTGTGGGGATGACAAGGGTTGCCCGTATATGTTTGTCTCACCCTTCAAGGTCCCTCAAAAAGTCTGTTTCAGCTTGACTCCTGCATTTCTAAAGCCTGTTTTTTGCGGGCCCCTGTTTTCAATTCCGGTCCCACTTCAATGGGCCCGGCCCAGATTTCACATATCCACGCTGCAGCTTTTTATGCGGTCTGAACTTTGAAATATGTCACGGCAGCAGCAGCAGCAGGCTTTCGTTTCAAATCGAAGAACCAAGAAAAACAAAAAGCAGTGAATGATTCAAGAAGAGGGGAAAAAGAAGCACATAGTTACAAATACAAAGAGAACTTTGCGATGGTGGGGATGAAGATCTTCAGAGGGAACACTTCATAAGGAAAAAATGAAAACCCTTTATTGCAACAGATATAACAAAAGGAGAGAAAATTCAGGGATACACATGCACCAACAATTAAACTACCACATTTTATAAGAAGTGAGATTTGACCCCATCAATTTAATTAAGTGATGAGAGCTTTAGTTGGTATTGAGAAAATATTTTAACAAATTAATTTAAAAAAATGAAGATGTGCATTAAAAGTTTTTAATTAATTCTCTTTACTTTTTATCTCACTTGTTATTTTTATTAAAATTTTATAACCTCTTTTTTCTTGTTGTTTTAAATTGAACTCATTGAAATTTTTCTTTCACTCCATTTCATTTCCTTTGAACCTAGCAAAGGGTAGCTCATTGTACCAAGAAATATTAATTGCTGATCATCAATTTGAACCATCAATTTAGATTTTGGATGGTTCATATTTAATTTTTATTTAATATTTCAAATGATTTTCATTTTAATATATAGAGAAAATTAACCATTATTTTAGATAAAACTATAAGGATTAAGTTTTAAGAGTCAAAATTCTGGAATTAAGTTTTAAGAGTCAAAATTCTGGAATTAAGTTTTAATCTAATCAAAAGTATACGGATTAAATTATAAAATTTTTCCTAATATATGTATTCCAAAATGAAAATTATTTTAGGAATTTTACTAATAAAAAATATCATTGACGACCCCTCGCGATCCACACGCATTCTTAAATAAGGTTTTAATTGTGAATAAAACATTTTGTGCGATAACAATCATTGTACATACACCTAAATAAATTTCAACAATTGCGAACAAAACTATAATAACTGTACAGACACTTTAATCATTTTAACGATGACTTTTGACATCCAATGATAACTAAGCAGAGTTGTCAATGCCACAACACCCTTTAAACAAAATTTTGAACTTTTAAAAATTTTTTTTAACTACTTCTCTAATCTTATTTATAAATTACTTATAATATATTTTATTAATATTAATAAAATTTTAAAATTTATTTATATTATCTTAAAATTTAGTAAGTTCTCAACTTTATCTCTATTAAATATATATATTTTAATAATATATTTTCTCTCTCCAACATTTCATAAAGGGTAAAAAAAATCTATTATAAAAATTTAACGGTGTAACTTATAAATAAGATTAAAAAAATTTTTTTTCTTTTTTATAAATAGAACCAAAGAGAGTAAAACTCGACCTCACTTGAATTTGTATTTGATGGTGGTACTTGCTATGAAAAATAATTTTTTTCATTTGTTTTTTTTTTTAACTTCCACAAATAATAATTAGACTATATATCCAATAATGGGCACAAAATTTAGAATGTGGCGATGATGAGTACGGCTGCATTCTATTAATTGATTACGGACCGCAAATAAGACATTTTATAAGCAAAACCCACCCATAAATAAGTGTCCACGTGAACTAATTTATTAGCATTGTAATTAATCCACTCCAAGTTAGGAGGGCAATGCGAAAATTTTACTGGCAAGCTATAAGCATTATAAATTTGTGATTTTGGAAAAATTTCAAAACCCAATTTACTTAAATTTTTGTTTTAAAAAAACAAAAAGCTTTTATAAAAACCTTGTTTTGATAAAAAGTGATACTCTTGACTTTTCATAATATATATGTCCTTTAAGTTTTAAGGTTATTTACCCTTAATTTATTTTTGTAAATTTTCTACTTACTTAAAATTATCGAAAGAAATAGGGGTAAAATAGGTAAAAAAAATATGTTCATAAATGTTGGTTTGAATTTTTTAAAATATATGTAACACGAAACAATTTTTTTCTTCTAAAAGAGACATATATTGTGAAGGAAGAGAGTATTAGAGTAACTTTGTTTTGAAATTTGTGAAACCTTATTTCCAGCTAGAAACCAAACGAGTACTATACGTAATACTTGACACTAAATCAAAATGATCTCACTATAAGCACTGCGACTTTCAAGTAATTGATTGACTGTGGACGATACATTTTGTATGCAAATGGGACTGACAAGTGTCCATAACAAATCCATTGACGGTGTTATGGGCCCACTCCAAATTGGGAGAGGGAAAATGAGAAGAGAAGCTTGTATAATTGCCAGCCACATCTTGAGGGGGCCAGAAATACAACATTGAAAAGGGTTAAAAAATAAATTTACCTTAAACTAATATTTTTCTTGTCTTATTTATAATATAGAGAGATAAGTTTTTTCTTTTGTCTCATTTTTAAATCATCTCATTAAATTTTTATTATGAATTTTCCTATTGAATGTTGAAGACAGAAAAATGTACTCTCACTCCATACTTCTAAAAATGTTTACTATCCACATACAACATAATTTATAGTAACTTTTAGATATCATACTAGCTTGTTAAAACATTGTTTGTATTTTTATACTCATCATCTAATTATCTTCTCTATTTAAAAAATTTAAAATATAATTTTGTTCACTAAAATAATATTGCATTTCATCCTACTGGATCTGATGGATAGATTATACTATTGTTTATAACTTAGGAGGGATACGATTGATTTTTTTTTTTTTTTTTTGAGCTGGATAGATTGCAGACTTGACACTAGAAAGAACCGTTAAACATTAAATTAATATGAAATGAGAAGAGGAGAGAAAGCTGGGCCTGCAAAGGTAATATGCACATAGGCACGTGTGGGTGAGTGTTGTTCCGTAACAGGAAGAGGGGGAAAGGCTCAGCGGTAACATCCTGGCAGAGTCGCACCACAATATCCAATTTGGTTTGTTTGCTTCCCACGATGTGACCCCTTAACTCCAATGTCCACGCTCCCTTCCTTTCCCTCCAAAATTCCCTCCAGTTTTTTTAATTTTAATTTTTAACTATTTAAAATATTAATTTCTATTATAATTTTATTTTTAAAATATAAAAACTGATATTTTAAATTGCTAAAAATATAAAACCTGAGCTGCACATAATTAAAACTATAAAAACTGAGCAAGAGTAAAAAGAATATAGACTTTGTCCATGAACAGAAAATGAAGACCAACCAACAATGACAGAGCACGTTTTGCCATTCGATTAACGTTAACATTGTCTTCTGTCTACATATCCTAAATCAACCATCCAATATCGATTAAGCATATTTTGACCCACAGAAATTAAATCCCAATGAACATGAAAATTAGTATGTGATCAAATTATGAACTCTAATAAATGACTTCTCAAACTCAATTAAGATTGTATATTGTGCTTTTCATGAGACTTGAAATAAAATAAACTACTTTCACTTATAAATATTTCCTCCATTTAAAAACACAAGTCTGTCTTCCAAAAACTAAGATCTCCTGATTTATTAAGAAGTTTCTTTCTTTTGGGGGCAGGGGGAATCCACGGTCAATACTTCTTGGTCAATTGTAATAATTCAAACGTCCTTGTAAAAGGCCGCAGCAAAAACTCATTAGATTCTGTACTATTATCATATTAATATGATAATAATAATTGTCCATAAAATACGGTGATTGTCAAATATCAACTCCAACTGGACCAGGTACTTCCGCAATCAACCGATGATCTAAACCATATCTGATTATAGATCAATGACTGATTGCCCTTCTATCTGTTTTTTTTTCTTTTTTTTTTTGAGAAAATAAATGGAAAATTATCAGATAAATAAAACTATGTGTTCTTTCTTTTTTGGCAAATGATAGATGATAGACAAAGCTTCCATGTGTTTTTCGGATTCATGCTTGTCTTAACTACACGCGCTGTACATTCGGCGCAGAGGATCGCAGCCGCTTCCTCCTCGGCTGGTCGGCTTGGGTGGTGGAGCCTGCGTTCTCAGAACGGGTGTCTGAGCTGGCATGAGCAGCGGCGTCGAGAACGCCCATGGGGCTCGAAGGAGGGGCCGCCACGGCTTCGCGACACGTGTCATCCATGTACGCTTCCATTAATTGATGACAGCTTCCCACCATTTCCTGTTCCCCAGACAAAAATATCACATGCTTTATTATTTTCTTTATAAAAAAAATCCAAAACAAACCAACAATTTGTTACCATAACCATCCGTAGTCCTTACATCATGGCTCCCTTTCTCCCACGTAATTTCACAATGAATGAACCATTCATTTTCCAATTTTCAGGTAACTCAAATTATTGAATTCGGAACCATTTTGTTTAAAATTAAAAAAGTAATTTTTATTCGACTTAATATGAAAAAAATGGTTAAAAATGTATTGAAAAAACTTATTTTAAAATAATTTAAACAAAAATAAAAAGTAATTTTTTCGACAAAATCGTACGACTAGTTTAAAATCCTTTCATTTAAATTTAACTAAAATTATTTTTTAAAATTTTTTGAAAAAACTGGCCCACCTTGATAATAAATTATCAGTTATCAATTTCATTCACAGAAATCAGAACCAGTCCGTCAAAAATGACTAATCCTAGCAATTACTAGCATAGTGTACTTTGTTCACTCTGTCATGAAAACATGGCAGCGATTGGGGGTAGACGTCACAGGCCACGCCGGCTGAACAGAGCACAGCGGCTGCTGCAATACTTGACGGTGCGAACCTCAAGAAATCAGTCACTGTAATCGAATCAGAAAATTTGAAGAAAATAGTTAATTAAAAAAACGCATAATCGCAATGAATGTAGCGAAACTCTCTTGCGGAGCACCAAAGATGGTTACCGCGAGCGGTGGCAAGGATGAACTGGGAGGCTCTAAAGAACTGGGTCGCGGATCCGGGTTTAGGATCGGATGAGGACGTCGGGAGCTTGGAGAAGAAGTAATGCAGGTAATCGAAGGGCGTGACAGAGCGCAATCTCCAGTTGAGTTGGGTCAAGATCCGGAGCTCCATCCTCTGAACAGTCTTGGAGTCAAATACGAAGCCCGGATCGAATATTTGCAGGTCGGGCAAATTCGGGATTCGAGGCTCCTCCATTTTCGCCGCAAGAGACAAGCACCCCACTGATAATAGATGAAACGGCCACTCAGCTGGCTGCCACCAGGTTCAAACCAAATAGGTAAACAATCATTAAAACAATTATAAAATAAAATAAAATAAATGCCAGAAACTTCTCCCAGAAAATCAGTTAGTTTCAGTGTTTCACGTCGGTATAATCTGGCCGTACTGTACCGGAAGAGGAGCGCACGAGAGGAAACGATCGAAGTAGTTGACGGAGAGTAACGCCGTTACCGGACGAAACTGGTAATAAGCGTGCACCTGCATTGCGCAGAGATGAAGGTCAGGAACCAAATTTGAACCCAAAGAAAATCAGAAAATGTTGCTTCGAAAAGTACGAGAATACCCCTCTACCTTGAAGATCCAGTTAATGGATTTGTCGCGATTGGTGAAGTCAATCGGACAGTCACGGAGGCGATGGAAATAACCTTGGTCCGGCATGAGGCGTGACTCTACGTCGATGAGTTCGGCGATGGTGATCTCATCGGACGGCGGAGAGTAGGGCAGGAGGTAAGGTGATGATGAAGGGTGCCGGAAGATCGACGCATCTTCACCGGAGCACAACACATCGGCGGCGTCCTCGCAGCAGAACAAGTTACCGGCGGGTGAGTACTCCGATGAAAGAGACATTGCAGTGAAGGAGGATTAGCTGGAGTGTCTGTTTGGTCATGGCTTGCTCTTATGGGTTTGTGTTTGACATCTCTGTCGTCCCTCCTCTTAGTTTCTCTCTCTAAAAAGTTTTTGTACTTTTGTGGGTATAGATTGATGAGTGATTAGCTCCCTCGTTTTCTGGCAAAAAAAAAAAAAATGAGCTCTCTCGTTCTGGTTCTCGTCTCCTCATTACAGATAAATATATGGGGGGAGTCTCATAACCGCGGGATTTTGTTCGCGAACGAAGTGAGCGTGTGAAGTGTGACTGCCTCGAAGCAGATCCTCTAGGATCTCTTCTCTCCTTAAATCCTGTCCTTTTAAATAATCAATTGGCTCGTAATGTGCCGCATGGCCAACGACCCAACACTTCAAAAACATTTCCTAAAAAGGAAATTAAAAAAATATAATTTTAAATTCTTACACTTTACTTACATTTTATTATAAGTCTTTATATTAATATTCTATATTCCTATTTTTTTACTTTTTAATATTTTAAATTTTTTTAAAGTCTCTATACTTTATTCATTTGAGGATTTAAAATATCAAAAAATAAACATGAATCGACTCAAAATATTAAAAAAATTGCAAAAATCTATAAAAAAATACAAGTAGGGACTTAAAATTATATTTTTTTTATAAATTAATTATAATTAAGTTTTAAAAACTTTCAATTACAAATTAAGAGTTATATTTAAAATTTAAATATCTATTTATAGTTAAAAATTTTAGATTTGTAATCACTTGCATAAGTACTTGCAATTGAATTTAAAAAAAATCAAAAACTTTATTTTTTTGTTTAAAAATGTAAAGTATTTTTTCAAGAGTTAGATATTTAAAAATATAAGATATTTTTAGTCGTTAAAGGTATAATCATTATTTTTTTTCAAAAATGCTCCTAATGACTTTATATCTATTGTAGAATGTTTCATAAGGGTAAATATAGAAAGATAGGATTAGTTTGAAAGTAGGTAACTACTTTATTGGGGGTGAGATTTAGTTAAAAATATTTTATATTTTTTAACAGAGAAAGTAATTGTACGGATTTTATGAGATAAATGCAATTGTAATGAATCTAAAGTTCCGACAATGATCAAATCTAGCTCTTGCTCCTATACTTGAAGTAACATATGCAAAGTTTAGAATAAATTCATGCTACATGTTGGTTGAAAATTCGGTACAGGGGATCAAATATCCTTTTAATATGACAAATGGTCTCCGCTCCCAGAACCTCTTATTTATTATGCTTTACCCAATGCTGACTCTGTTCTCCACGTGAGAGTTTATGACTTTTGCAATAATGAAAGAAAATGGAATACTAATCTCCTAAGTCATTATCTTCACCCTGACATCATCAAATAGATTTTACTTGTGTAGCCTCCCAATCAACAAAGAAAAGATATTCTTTTTTAGAAGGCATCATCTAATGGAAATTTCTCCATCGAATATACTTACAAAGCAATGAAGGCCTACGAGAACCAAAATCACTCGAATATTGGTCTAAGATTTGGAAATGGCCTATTATAAAAAAATTATATATTTTCTTGGAAGGTTGCCTAGAATCGTCTAAATAATATCCACAGTCACTCTTCTTAAAAAAGCAGCTACCCTTTTGGCTGTAACTCCTTTGACTCTTCCATTTATATTTTAAGAGCTTTCAAGGAAGCCAAAGAGTTGTGGAAAAGGTTGGTTAATCTTATAAAACTTTACACTTTTTTCTCTTTTAATTTGCAAGACTAGATAATTTGAAATACAAAAAATGAAGTAGGTAGCTTCAATACAATAAGAACAGATTGGCAGAGACTTTTTGCTCAAGTTTATTGGAACATTTGAAAAATTAATGCAAGAAACTCTACTCCGAAAGAAGAAGTCTTAAATAACAACATTATCTTATCCAGCACTTAGCAAATCAGCAATGACTTTAAGCTTCTATTAAAATACAATCAACCGAACAAAGGACATGCTACTTATGACGTTAGATAGAGTCCATCTAAACTTGGATGGATCAGATTGGACAAAGATAGATTTGTCAACAACAATGGCATTGCTGCTTGTGGAGGCATCATTAGAGATGATAAAGAAAATTGTATTAAAGGATTTATGAAATTTCTTAACTATCACCCTAACACAACAGCAAAAATTATAAAAATCTTTGAAGGACTTAACCTCTGCTGGAATGACAAATTTTTCAAAATTAATGTCTATTCATATTCAATAAAGGCTTTGTCTCTTATTAATAACAATTACCCTAGGAGTCACCCTTTATCTGACATTATAAAGAATATCAGAGATCTCACTATAAGGGATTGGGGTGGTTACCTTTGATTATGTCTCCAGAGAATAAAACGGATGCATTGATCTCTTAGCTCACAATGCAATACGTAACAACTTTAACATTAAGATCTTTGATGTACCCCCTCAAGACTGTAGAAGCCTATTGGCTTTCAACATGACTGGTCTTAGTATTTTGCACGAGTTTCCATGGCCTTGTATTTAAAAAAGTAAAGAAAATATAACTTTAAATTTCCACACTTCACTTACATTTTGTTATAGATCCCTACACTATTTTTTGATGTTCAATATCTCTATACTTTTATTTTTTAGTGTTTTAAATCCCTCCAAGGTCTTTTATATTTTGTTCATTTAGAGATTTAAAATACCAAAAAATAAAAATGTAGGGACATATAATATAAAAAAATTGCAAGAACCTATAAAAAAAATACAAGTAAAGTGTAGGGACCAAAAATTATATTTTTTATAAATTAATTATAATTAAGTCTAAAAACTTTCAATTACAAATTCAGAGTTGTATTTAAAAATTTAAATATCTTATTTATGGTTAAATTTTTAGACTTGTAATCACTAGCATAAGTATTCGCAATTGACTTTAAAAAAAATAATCAAAAACTTTGAAATCAAATATAAACTTATTCATAGATTTTAATAGAAAAAATATTACTTTTAATCCTTACACTTTGCTTGAATTTTGATATAAATTCCTACACTTTTTTAATACTTTATCTCCCTACACTTTCTTTTTTTTTTTACAATGTTAGTCCCAGCATTTTTAGAGGGATATTAGTGTGACACAAACGGTATTTAATAATATTGATATATCAATTAACACTGTTAATTTGTGCTTACATGTCAAAACTATATTGACATGAAGTTTTAATATGTAAAAAATTAAAAAAATTACATAAAATTTGTGTGTTTTGCTTATCATTTAAAAACTTTCATGTCAGTCTTTTTATTTCATCTAATTAGGCTTTTTTAAAAAAAATTCTTGTTTAGAAAATTAATGTCAACATCAGTTGGATAAGTAAGCACAAAATTAATAGTATTAACCAACATTTTAGTGTTATTAACACTATTGCGCCACGTCAACATTCCTCTAAAAATATCTAGGTTAATGAAATAATGTAGGGACTTAAAATATTAAAAATAAAATACAATGATCTATAATAAAATTCAAGAAAAATGTAGGAATAAAAGTAGTATTTTTTTATTTCTATATATTTAAATTAAATTTGATTTAAATTTAAATCTTTTGATCCAAACACAACATTATTTTTTTTGTCCAAAAAATAAAACACGATCATTAATGCGCGTGTGCATGCGGGCGCGTATGTTTGTTTTCTGTCTTTTATCTTTTTTATGTCTAAAAGGTAATTTGACCCGGACACTGATTTGATGGCGATTTTCATGAAATAAGTTTTCTCGATGAATTAAATCGTGCCTTTAATAATTGTTTGAAGCATAACATAAAATGAGTTGTATTGTTTGGTATACATATCGTGAATTTTTATTAAATAAATAATTATAACAGTATTCATTTCTCTATTTTGAAATTTATTAACTAGTTTTCAGATTACTAGCGGTATTAAGTTTTTTTTAAATATTAGAGCAAAATCTAAACTAATTTTTGACCGAAGTCTAAACTAATTTAAGCAATTCAGGTAAAAAAAAAACTAATTAAAGCAAAGATATATGGAGAAGTTTTAAAATGATAGCAAAACCATTTCCATCCCAATTTATGAAATACTTCTAAAGAAAATTAAATGTCTCAAAATATAAGACATCTTAATAAAAAATAAAAGTTTATTCATCTAATTCTATTTATAATTCACTCCAAACATGTTTCACCGAAATAAAATAAAACCTCAAAACACATTAACGTTATATACAAATTTAAAATATTCTCAACTTCATCACTATTAAAAATATATTCTTTAACAATAAAGTTTCTTCTCTAATATTTAATAGAAGGTAAATGGGGTAATTTATGAAAAAAATTTAATTATGTGACTTAAATATGACTAAAAAAATCTCCCTCCACCTTATAACAAGAGACTGTATTAATTCACTCTTGTTCCAATGTTATTCTTCCTTCTTATTATATTTTTTTCAAGTTAATATTTTACAAATAAAGTTAAATTAAATTAAATGTAATTTTAAAAATTTATATTTGTATTTTTAAAAAAATTAAAGTGAATTTAGTGAACTTTAAAGGGAGTAGTTAAACTACTCCCCTATTCAATATTTAAAATTTTGTTAATGAATTACACTTTTATTGAGTTAATTAATTATTTTTAAAATTATGAGTTAAAAAACCTTATTAATTGCACTTAATTGAGGGCATTTTGAAAAAAAAAAAACTTACTATTAAAAGTTGTTATTTTCCTTTATAAGTTGTAAATGTCCATTGTTTATTTATAAATATCATTTATCAAGTTGTAAATGTGTCAGATCTCAAACTTAAGAGTATTTTATGAATTTTATAAAATATTTTAATAATAATTTTTTTAAAAGACTTAAATGTAATTTTTTTTATTTTTTAATAGAAGGAGTACATTAATGTTTAGGGGGGCAGTTCGTTGAATGTGCAAGGTTCAAGTTTTTCCAATATGACTTACTTTATACAGAGACCGAGTGCGTCTTTGCATGTGAACGTGAATTTAAGTAATCATACGAATTTAGTACCATTGGGACCCAAAATTCATAGAAAAATTGAATTTATTTGGAGGGTTTACGTTTCTAAACATAGAGACAAGACATTAATTATGTCTTATATAGTATTCCCTCTGTTTTTATTTTTTTAAAAAAAATTATATCACATAGTTTAAAAAATTAATTAATTATATTAATTATGTC